TTTATCCCCTTCCCCCTTCGAACCTAGTTTAAAGCCCTCTCAATGAGCCCTGCCAATTCATGAGCGAGAATCCTTTTCCCCCTGTGAGACAGCTGAACTCCATCTGTCGCCAGCAGGGCCGGTGTAAACCTCCCCATGACCAAAAAAGCCAAAATTCCACTGATGGCACCAGCCCCTGAGCCACGTGTTGATCAGGTGTGTTTTCCTGTTCCTTTCAGTATTCTTCCCTGCCACTGTAGGGATTGAGGAAAACACTACCTGTGCTCCCGATCCTTCAACCGGTCGCCCCAGTGCCCTGAAGTCTCTTTTGATCGCTTCAGGACTTCTCTCTGGAACCTCATCACTGTCAGCCTGTATAACCAACAGCGGGTAGTAGTCAGAAGGCCAATATTATATTGCACAGTATAATTGTAATTCTACTATCAAGCCTCACTACCTTTCTGCCAAATCTGGAATTACAACAATCTAGGCAAGAATGGAAGGTTTCACTTAATTAATAGGTAAAGAAACAAAAAAATTCGTTTGCCTTAGGGCAAACTGCAGGAGTTTGTTTCTTACAGCAAAAACTGGAATTTAACCTGGTCAAAAAAGTATGTAGACTCTTAAATATTTGCCAAGGGGGGAAAAAAAAAAAATCACATGATCACTTAACATTCCATTTGAAAGACTGCCCTTAAAACAACACATGTGCAACACTGTGCTCGGTAAGTCAGTTCACTAACAACTCAGAAGGAAGAGCATGACATCTTACAGCATGAGCTCTGCCTGACTTAGGCACAACAGAATCCCAGATCTCATGCTCTGGCTTGTCATTTTACTGGTTAAATCGTAAACGTAGCAAAAGAAATACATATTGTTTCATCCTAATGAAGGTTATTTTTATACATTTTTAAATGCACTTTTATTTTATACAATAATTCTAGCTGCAATTAGCTATAGCCTAAATTATAAGATGTTTTAATGTTTAAAATCTGTGTCACTACAGCGTTAACTATTCTCATTCTCCGACTTAGGATGTTGATTGCTAAGTGTCTCAGTCCCTGCTCTGATATAACTTTGTAGGTATTTCAACAGAACCCTACATATTTCCCCCTTATGCTCCAATACTAAGGCCAAGATGATTAAGGCCAAAATTGTCACTACTGACCACTCTGAGGCACCTAACTCTACCATGTTGTAACTACTCCTACACCTCTTTGCTTCAACATAACTCCTGACAAACTTGTTCTCAGAAGTGAACGCAAAGTAGCTAAAAAAAAAAAAAGAAAGTATCGCCAGGTTTCAGGTATAACGCTTAGGAAAGAGACAGATTTATCAGCCATCTGTGAGAAGGCTTGTTAATATGACCAGCAAGAAATCATAAGGACTGGTTGGCAAAGACAAGAAGAGAACACAAGTTTTCTTTAGAGCAGAGAAGTGAGAAGGACTGCAGGCAGAAACACACTCATCACATCCATACCCTTAAAACCTGAAAATTGTGTAGGCAATTATATGAGGTTATAAGCCAAGCTAACATTCACTGCCTCTCAGCAGAGATCATTATCTGAGAGCTATGCCAACCAGAAGTCACCTACTTGCAGTTAACAGCATATGTGAACAGAGAAAACCTGTGCAAACATCTCTCCATATATTAACTGCTGTTTGGCTTGGTCATGTCACAGTTGTTCTTCCAAGCTTCAGAAGAGGAAATGGAAGACTACAGAATACAAAGTAGTAAGTCCAGTGAGCAACTGACCGGTAAAATTAAACAGAACTTCCTTGTTAAGAAGTGAAAACCAAAACCTGTGCCCCCTCACAAACAAACACAGACTGCAATTAGAAACTATCAACAGCAAAAAGCCTTTCCCAGACAGCTGGGATTCACCACTGGGGTCAGAAACATGCCTTCAAATTTTCTCAGCTGACTTTTTTTACTGTGGTTAGCAGACCTACTTGTTTGCCACTCAGAAGTTGAATTAACATCTACTGATGAAAATGGAGAAATGTGATATAAAAATCAGTCAGTGAATAACAGAGGGTGGGATTTTCTGACAGTTGAAGCATAGATGCCTACAAACAGTAATGAAGCTGACCTGTAGACCAAAGACTACCAGGACACTGGAGGCAGGGGTGGGGTGGGGGATAATAATAATAGGAAAAAAAAAAATTTCTGACAACCTCATGGACTCTGCCTCCAGTCTCTGTCTGAAAGACTTAGTATGAGTGGGTAGAGCAAGGAGGGACAAAACTGCATCCTCATGCTACTTAGGAGGGAGGTATGACAGAGCTGTAATTCATACTTGTGTGTAATTTGTAAGATTTAAGAGCAATAAACTCAAAATCACTAGTTTTGTGTAATTAAAAGCTGTCCATCCCCATGAGTTCTTTCAGAGTGTCCTTTTTCCTCCTTACAAACTTAAGCCATTGTTTTTCTCCATTTTATACAGCCTTCACCAATCTGATATTCATTTTTATAGGAATAAGTCTTCTTCAATCACCAATGTTATAACTGCAATCACTTTCTTGTATTTTTTATGTTTTCTCTCAGTGCTCCTTGGTGCTCAAACTTCTGTAAAATTGCACTACTTTTCTTCAATCCCTTCCATACATTTCTTCTTTGAGATAGTGTGCACTGACTATCGCCCCCCAGCAAAATATCAGTAACAGCCTTAATCACACCAGCACTTTCACCGAACTCTAGTAATCTACATCTACCACTTGTTGTTGTAGAGCACTGGTTTCCATTGCCTTATTTGTGCTCATTCATTTATTGTCTCTTGAGTATTTTAAGACAGGAAAGGGAAGAAAGGAAGCATCCATCCTCTTGTGCTAAGAGGGAAGATCCTGTCACAATTGGCTTGTGGTCTGTGGCAGAGGCCTCTTTCTTTTATTTCCATGAATTGCAGGAAATTATGCCTAATGTTTTCTCCTTTTTTAAAGTCTCTTCACTTTTACAAAGAAAAAGAATTATAACTCCAACCACTTCTGCATATTCTATACCTTTTTAATCTACTTCATATCTATTTTTATCACTTGACCTCCTTTGCTGTTATTTTAACATTAGAAAATGCATCTTTGCCTACTCCAATGTTCCTTAAGCATTGTGTTTATAAATAAAGGATAAATTCAAAACACTGCACTTTTGAAGCTCACAGGAAAAAAAAAAAGGCAAGTGAAACAGACCACAGAGACTTCTAGAACTAGCACAACATAAATATGAAATAAAGCATGAATGACAACATTAAATGGAAACTTACCCTGCTTGTGGGTTCACCATTCCCATTGAGTTTTTATGAGCTGGTGATAATGTCTGAAGTTTGCTCCCACTGGATCCAGATGAAGATAGTGCTTTACTTGAAGAGGCACCTTGCAGTTGAAAGCAAGCATGGAAATATAAGAAAACGTAAGATTTTGCTGCTGGAATGATACAATTCGTTATATATTTTTTAATTGTAAAATTCAAAACGAGTTTTAGAAATACCAAGATATGAACAAGTGTCAAGGCACTAGGAAAAAGCAAGTACATTTCCAGAAATTCACAGAAAATATGCAATTGAGACAATGTTCTATTCTAATAAAAAACATTGGATCTCAATTACTTTCTTCAGAAAGGAAAAGGAAAAAAAAAAGAAGTCTAGAATGTCAAAGTATGTACAAACAGAACATGTTTGATATCTGATGATATCTGAAATCAGAATAAGACCAATGTTTGCATAATTATAATATACATGACTTGACTGTGTATTTTCACTAGTTCATGATCATATTCAGCATACAAATTAGTTACAGGATTAAGCAACAGAAAAAATTTCAGGTGAGAGATCAGTATTCGATACAATTACGCATTACTACACAGAATGATTTTGCAGGTTCAATTCAGAAGAAAGCTAATTTGACCCAATATATAAAACAGAAGAGAATCCTATGTGCTCAAGAGTCTTGTTAGATAGATACCAATCGGTGCCCCTTCCAACTTCAAATGAGCTTTTACAAACCACTGTATCAATTTCAACAATAAAGTATATAGCCATCATATATGTAAGTCAAAAAAATCAGGTCACAAAAACGTTGATTAAAAAAATTGTATTATGAAAAACAGACACCATCTTATCCACTCACATAACACTGAACTCCTCCTATGAATTTTTTTACTTTGTCAGTTTAAATCACTGGGCAATTCTGTAGAAATCCTTTCAGCTATTGAAATTATACTACTTTTACTGCATAGTTTGAGAACTAATATTTAGGAAGGAAATAGAAAAATTTATAACAATTCATTTCATACCTACAACAGTTTTGCTAACACCACTGGGCTGTGGTAAGCGTGATGATGATGATGGTGTTGATCCTATGGAAGGCATCTTCTTAACTGCAGCAGGTTTGTACTGTAACAAAATACAACCTAGAAATTTAAGCAATTAAATCAAACTATCTATGTAACACGATAGGTAGTTATCTCAGGTACTGTGGGAAAATAGACGATGATTACCTACTAGGTAAACTGTTTCTGGTACAGGATCATGCAAATGGTTTCCGCTAGTCTGCTTTCTTATACATACAGACCATACTAGTAGGAAAGATTATGTAACTCAGTGGTTTTGGTTTTTCATTTAACTGTATATCTTTGTGTATTTTCTGCTTTTCTACAGCTTTTCTCATCCTTTTCCATAGCTGTCTCATGAGCTTAACATTATCACCTCATTACCAGTTAATTTTAAAAAGAATACGCAAGGGCAGTATCATTTTTGTCTTTCAAATCTTACTTTCACCTGCGTGCTCTGGACCCGTCCCAGCACTGATTCAGAATACAGTGCAAGAATCACTAAGTAACTGCTTGTGTCTGTTTAACTCTTCACAGTGTCCAAAAAAAGAGCATTACCACCAAATGAAAACACACCTACACTTTAATTCTTCATATGTTTCCGTCGTAAGTTAACTACTGCAGCTCTTACCTTAATATGCCTGAATTCCTCTAAGCCTCTAATTAGCCAAAATATTGCTGTCAGTTTTCCTGTAGTCACATACCTTTGTTTGTCCACTTAAGGAACAGTCTTGAATTGGATTCAGAGGACTTGCATGACAGAAATTCAACTTTCTTTACAAACACTGCATCTCTACTGCCTGCTGCTACCCTTACCTGTCATTTTCACAAATCTCTGAATTACATTTATGACTGTTTTTGGCTTTGCAACTGCTGCCATCTGATTTATGGATCTCTGCAACTCTTGTAAGAAAGCAAAAACCTCTTCCATGCTTAGTGTCTAATTTCAGTCTAGCGCAAATAATAAAATTACAGAATAAAATAGTAAATTCCATTTAAGAGCAACATACTACTTAACAAGCTTGATTTGATCTCGAATGCAAGTTACAAGTTAAGAAAAGTGTTGTAGTTCACCTGTGTTCGAGTAGGAAGCTTCCCTTTGGCATCAGCTGCCAATTTCCCCTTATTAGTAATACGTGCTGCTTGTTCCTTACAGAAATTGATGTGTCTGTCAGCTGCATTTTCGTTAAATCTCCTCTGACAATATGGACACTGAATGTAATCTTAAAAAAATAAAAACCTAACATTAATAACGTTTTTTAAAAAATAAAGCATTTTAAAGTCTTTTAAAGACCAGCCCCACACCCAGAGAAAATTAAGGCCTCTTGAATCTGAAAATGAAATACATATTGCTGGGGAAAAGAATATCATCCAGATGTAAAACAAAAGATGTTTCTTGTTTGATGGATAAGAATGAGAAGAGTGGTTGAGGATCAGAAATAACCTAAGTGAAATCAGAAACACTTTGAGAGATGCTATTCAGCAGAGGTGGCCAAAGATTATATGGTCATGGCAGGGATATCAGCTGGAAGGAAGTGCGGAACAAGGCTAAACAAAACAAAACAAAAAAAAAATCACGCACAGAGTTCAGTTTGTTCAAGACATGAAAATGCATTAAAACCTTTCCCATACAAATAGCAAAAGACAACAAAATCTGTTTCCTCTGGCAGTTTTGAAAGGACTGAGAAATACTAACTGCAATACTGGAAATTATCATTAAAAAAAATTAAAATTGGAAATTTCAAAACAAACAAAAGAACAAACTGAACTCTGTGCGTGATTTTAAGACATGAAAATGCATTAAAACCTTTCCCATACAAATAGCAAAAGACAACAAAATCTGTTTCCTCTGGCAGTTTTGAAAGGACTGAGAAATACTAACTGCAATACTGGAAATTATCATTAAAAAAAATTAAAATTGGAAATTTAACAAAAAAAGAATCAGAGGAAATCCAGCCAAAATTAGGAGCTATCTATAGAGACATGCAAAACAGGGTAATTGGTGGCTGTATTATTTTTCAAGATTAATTTAGTCACATTACAAACAGTACCACTTGCAGGAAATATTATTACTAATGTTGGGGAAAAAAAACAGAAAGGCTATGTAAATGTTTAAAATACTAAAAGATCCCTCATCTGTATGCTGGAAATATTCCCCTTAAAATACCCTGCCCTTGGAAAGTAAAATGTTTGGACTGCAGTTTCAGGCAGACATTTTAGTGTCTAGAGACATGGATGTTGAAATCCCCAGATTACAGCATTCAAAACCATGTAAACATCAACTTCAGACGAACTGGACACTGGCAAAGCAGGTTAAATTAGTATGTTCCCAGGTGATTTTTAGAAATGTATTGAAGAACATGAGGAGAGATTCAACAGTCACTGCCTACAAGCTCACAAGTAGGTATTATACAATCCAAAATAAGAGTTGGATTACATGTCACTACTCCAAATGCAGCAGATCTGGCTTAAGTAGTTATCCCTTTAAATTAACAAACAATTTTGAGTAAGTCAAATGATGCAGTGGCCACCAAACCATGAACTGTGACCCAAGAAGTGTGAGCAAAGGACACAGGAAGAACACAGGAATCCTTCACCGAAGTGACAGCATGGGAATCTCATGTGATAACAACAATGAATTTTTATTTATTTATTTTACATAAACTCCACTACTGTCAGAATACTCAAACATAAGATATATCTTAAGAGCTAGAAATTCTGAAGAAAAAGAACTGTAATATCTATACGGTCAAACCAAGATAAGCCCAAACAAAGTTAAAAAAGAAGATAAAAAAGCAAAATAGATTAATAAAGCAGCTATGGAAGCCCCTAGATAATAAGAAAAGACATTTCTAGCTGGGGCACAGCTCAGTTCGCGCAGAAGACTTTCAAAGCCCACTAAAGTAAATGGATCAGACACTGTAGAAGATTAATGTACACTCTTTTAAGAATCAGGGATTGTATCTTCATGCTTCTGTAAAATGCTTAGCACCAGTCAGCCACCTGGCTAGGTGGAAGTACTGTTCGTACTGTCCAGAAGAACTGTTAGGATTCAATGTAAGCTTTATAAAATACAAACTAATCAAAATAAGTGGGCAGTACACACATGCAGTCAAGTTCAATGCAAATGGGGTGACTTAAGGTCCTTCCTAGTATCATGAGGCTATTTTGCACTTCTTTAAGGAAAAAGTGGAACAGGAGATCAAAGAACCAGCAATACTGCTTGTTTGCAAACTCAAAGCACGCAATTAAGTAGGAAATAGTAACACAGAACTCTTTTAAAGGAAGAAGACTAGCCGCTACTTAGAAACAGGCATGCCAAAGACAGAGCTGAGTAGGAGGAGGATGGATATACTCCATGATACCCATGCATAATTCTCCCTCTCTCCTACACTTAGCAGCAGGGTAGCTGTCCCTGCTCTATTATTGTTCCGTTCTATTTGTGGGAAGAGAATCCATTGATCAATTTGTGCATCTTCTCTTCATCCCTGGTTCCCTCCTCCTAAGTCTTAGCCACTGCAGCAGGATGAAGCCAGGAGACCACAAACAGTAAGACTCAGCTTGGAAAAAGTAAAAAACGGAAGGAAGAGAAACAGGCACAGTATCTTTCTCTTCCCTTTACCTCCTATCTGCTTTCAAGCAGGCCAAATAGAGTTACTTCCTTCGCTTCAAACTCATTTGCAGGCTCTAGAACCAAGGGAGAACCATTTTAGTAGCTTTCCAAGCTAGATTTAGTTCTGGGCTCTCCTGCTTGTAATTCAGAACCTATACAACTAGCTTGTTAACGATCCTTTCCATGATCGAGCCTTATGTTTCTTATCCACAGCATTAGCTATTGGTTTTACCTTACTTTAAAATGCATATGGCATTTCAAGATAGAGTGTACTGAATGATGAGTAATACGACTTCACTTCTTACTATGAATGCACAATTACAATCCTAATACTGGACTAACGTATTTCCTGTAGAGAAACAAGGTAGGGAACACTCACATTCTCACTTGCTCAGACAGGCAGAAGCAAACAGATGATTTTTTCTGTTTTTCCCAATCTTTCTGAAAATAGCCACTGACCTGATCAAATGGTTTAGCTCTTAGATCAACAGGAAGAAATATATTCTCCAACCTATTATCACATCACAGAAGTTAACTGAAAACTGTCTTTCCTTCTCACTAACATCAGACTGCTTCAACACTTTACCCAGCCTCAGTTCTGAAGGCACCCAAGGACTGTTACTCCCTTGTTAATACAAATCCCACACGTCTCACATACCCAAAACACAAGTACCCCCACCACATGAGGAAGGATCACATGCACACTAGAGCATACACTGCATACATGAAACTAAATGTTGATTCAGCAAGAAATGGGAGAGACTACGTTTGAAGAACATAGTCGACGTGCATTCCTACAATGTAAACAGGTTGTGAGTGTCCAGCATCGGCAGCTAATTAAAAAGGTAGTCTGCTCTTTCTGAGCAGTTCCACTGTTGTGGACAGAAACAAGGTGTTGAAACAATTCATCTGGCTTATGGTTTATAAGATGGTAGCAAGCTGCAAGTTGGCCACAACTACGTTTTGATGCATTAAAAAAAAAGTCATCCTACACAGGATGCTAGCCAACCAGACCCACAGTCACAAACCAGCATCTGCATAGGGATAATCAGATAGTCATCTTCAAGAACGTGTAAATATTGTATTCCACAAATTCTGTTCCAATTCAAATTTTTACAAATTAAGTTAAAAAAAATCTCTAAAGAACTCAATTGTTTTACATACCTGGGTCATATGATGGCGGAGGTGGTGGAGGGAGTTTTCCACCGTCTTTAAGATTAAGTCCTTTGGCTGCTCGTATAGTTGCTATAAATTCCTCGTGCTTTCGTCTCCAGTTGGAAGGTTTTTTGGGTGGTTCTGGCTAAGAAGCCAAAAAAGAAAGAGCTTTATATGTTTGAAGCTCTTACTTCAAGGTAACTACGTGCCTTATTTTAGTACACAACACTACAGTTAGATTTCTTCCAGATCCTAGTTGATCTAATTATCATGAATTGCCAGCAGAAATAAGCCTTATTATAATGCATACATAGCTTGCCTAAAATGTTCACATGCAGATTAAATTATAACATACCCGTGGCTTAAGAGGTTTTACTGTGGGAATGTCAGTTCCTTCCGCTCTCTGACGGCTGGAATCAAATGTCTTCCTTTTCTTGGCAGAAGTTTTTTGGCAAATGGGTCCATGCTTTTTCTACAAGCAGAAGAAAAACAAAAGGAGAATAGAGAACTTAGTTTTGAAAACATAAGTTATTAACACGTTATTTCCCTCTTTCTCAATATGCCAATCAGCACACAAGGCCCAACTCTTGATGAATAAGATCAGACTGCTTTCACTCAAATATTTATGCCAGCCATTACTTTTTGAACAGAACTACAGGAATTCACGAATGCGTATACATGGTCACAAAAACTTGGGTGATGAGGAAGAAAAATAGGAGGCATCTATATTTGCTCCTTGCAAATAAAAAATTGATGGTAGGTAGGCAGCATTTGCATTGAGTGGCAAGACAAATCAGAAGTGTCTGAAATCCATATTCATATTTAAGGACAGACCAACTTCTGTTAAGACTGGAGAACACAGTATTTTGAAGATGGCTAGCAAAACACTTCATTTACTAGCTGAGACTGCATGATGCTAGGGCTTACATCTGCAGAGGCAAGGAACGATTCCGTGACCTTAGAGAAGATGTTTTTAGAAGCATGTATTTTCAGAAAGTAATGGGATGCTGAAATAAAATTAACCTCCTTCTAAGGAGCTTCAAAACTGTGACAATTGGAATCGATAATTATTTGGGGGAAAAAACCACACACACACACACACAAACACCCCACCAAAAGCAAGCATCTAGATCTACTTTATTTAGCTATAGCAACCATTCCTTAACTCCCATATCAACTTATCAGATCTAAAAGCCAACAGTGCTCATACCACTTACCAGTGCTGCTGGAAAGAAAGTCCTTCCACAAATCCTACATGGCAGCAGATCTCCAGTTTGCACTGTAACCTCACCTTAACCAAAAAAAAAAAAAAAAAACAACAAACCAAAACAAAAAAAACATACTTCTACTATAAGAAATGTGTAAATTTGTCATAAAAATTTCTTCCCAGATTGCTAGCCTCATCTACTCAGCAATAATAACAGTTGTTACTGTAAAAGTATACATTCTTTGAACTGTGCAGAGACTGTGCAGATCAGAAAGGAAAAGATGATACACAAGTCCTTATGTACTTTTGGAAGCAGTCAGGCCCAGTAACATGTCAGCATCAATTCTGATAATTTACAGTACGAAACTCTGCACCTTTAAAGGGATACCTGTGTGTCAACATGCAAATGACAGATTCACTGTAAGTCACAATGACAGCCCAAACACACACGAAGAATAGCAATATTTAGTGGGTATTTCTGTGTCTGTGGAAGAGAATCGCCTGTTACAGCATCAAATATAAGTCACATCCCATCACTTATTTTTCTCTACTAAGTTAAACTATTGCACTTTCTCTTGGAAAGAAAAATTCTTGAATGCTATTTTTACTATATATTTTATTCAGATTACTACTGACAGTTTACAAAAGCATTTCTGATGTTGCTATTCAAGCATTGGTAACAAAAATGTAAATGGTATACTTGACATGCAACAGATTCACAGAACCAAATAAAAGACCAACAATGCAAGCAAATATATTCATATAGTACACATTATGCAATGGTGTCATGGCAGAAATGAAAAACTCCACAGGGTTTCCCAATAACAGGCTTCTATTATACTTAATACTGTACCAGAGATACAGGGATACTTTTATATCACATATACATCAATAAAGAGGCAGTAAGTTTGGATTAAGTTTGAGAATTACTAGTTGCTTTCTCCGTACTCAGTCTGACTATTGCAGACAATACAGCTCCCTCTATTTATACGAAGTTATTATGAAGTTAAAACAAAGGCACTTTGAATTGACTTGTATTTTAGGCAAACTAGTGGCTTAAACTAACGAAGTGATGAACACAGCAGTGTTCAGTGATTTGATCAGCTTTTGTTCCCAATTCCCCAGTGGAAAACAATTTTCCATCTGAACATACATACTTGTTAATTAACTGTAGGACCAGTCCTAAAGAAAATGGAAAATTTAACAAAATGTTTCATGGTAAACAAATGTAGATTCAGGCAGCCATGGTTCCCACTGAAAAACTTTTTTTCCAAATGTAAAGATTAAAATTGAGTGAGATTTCTACTACCAATATGTAACCATTAGGTCTATCTCTGCCTTTTTCAATTACTTGAATGAAGTTCATCATCAGTATGTAACTACATATAATGTATTAATTGTATTAATATAGTACAGAGCACAATCCATTTTAAGAATCACAAATCATATGAAAAGTGTTCTGCAGTTTAAAACATTTATGTCCATATCTTTAATTTATATACCTTTTTCATGTAGACATAAATAGGTCCTTGTCACAGCATAGCAAGGCTGTACTGACAGTAACTGAGTTTTACAACTGAAGTCATAATCAAGCTTCCTTTTGTGTCATCTAAATGTATGTGTTTAGATATACACAAGTAGGGGGAAGAAGGAAAGATAGAAAAAGTGCAGATAAATCCTGTTTTTCTTCTATTCTTGCACCTGAATAATACTTGCATGTTATCAACATTTACTAGGAACTTATTTTTTATTGTTAACTGTATTTTTTTCAATCTCTATTTTAAACAATCATGTCTGAAAATTTTTCCATAGGTCTGTTTTCTTAAATCCACAAGCCTGAGCATAATGTTAATCACAATAACATGCACACTGGTCATACATAGCTTGGATGGAACCTGCCCTCACCATTTTCCTCAAGGGTAAGCAGCAATGGTTGTAAGCTTTTCTCAATTCTCCCATTCAAAAATACAAGGTATGCACAGATTTATTTTGTTTGTTTCATTACTTCATTCTTCAGAGTTCTCAGCACTCTTAATAATGCTAACAGCACTGCAAACTCGCTTCTGCTAAAGAGTTCAACTTCCTTTTATTGCATTATTCTAATACAACCCTCGGCTTTGCAGAAACAAGTGAGAGGAAATACAAAGTGACATTGTTTGTGTCTAAGAAATTAGCTGAAATAAATCAGAATTAGTGATCTTGAAATCAGGTGTATAGTATAAGATTAAGGATTTGACTGAGAGAAGAATTATTTCAAATATCTGCCTTAGTAAAAGAAGAAAAGCTACATTTTCCACCATATTCTTCTGTTCACTGAACTCTGGAATTCGAGCTTGTGTTTAAATTCACCATTAAAAGTAGACTTGATAGACGCTCACCTGATCGAGCAGTATTTACACACAACATACCAATGCATAATGAATGCCAATTAGCACTCACTGCAGCTACAGTTACAGAGCTGGATTTCCTTACAGCATTCCTATCATCCTTTGCTGCTGGCAGGTACTCAGTCACATTTGCCAAGAGCTATTTCTACTTCCAACACCTCCTCCCCACTAATACAAATCACTGACCCAAAACACAAAAGGAAGTTATTTTAAAAAATGAAAGTTCCTTTTGTTAAAAATGGGAAGCCTACAGTCCTTTATATTTGCACACTTATCCCTTCAATTTCTTGATCATTCCTCTGCGAATTTCCTCTCCTTTAAAGTAACCTCCCCCCCCCAAAAAAACGCCACCACAAACCCCAAAACACTCCATCACAAAAAACCCAAAACAAAACCACAAAATCTTAACATTTCTCTCTAGGAGCTCATGAGCCTTCCCTTACAGAAGGGATAGCAATGTCATCAACATGAAATCTGATAATTTTAAAATAAAACATGGGAATAAAATTGTAAAAGTTGGAATTAACCTCCCCCCCAAAAAAAAACGCCACCACAAACCCCAAAACACTCCATCACAAAAAACCCAAAACAAAACCACAAAATCTTAACATTTCTCTCTAGGAGCTCATGAGCCTTCCCTTACAGAAGGGATAGCAATGTCATCAACATGAAATCTGATAATTTTAAAATAAAACATGGGAATAAAATTGTAAAAGTTGGAAAAGACTTGTGTTTTTTTTTTAAAAAGGCGTTCATACATGGTATCTAATGCCATCAGTAGACTTGTTACTGACAGCTTCTGCACAAGTAACAAACACACAACATAAAGAGGGAGGAATTCTTACACATTTTTTAGTAGTAATGTAAAAAGTTAGTATTTCTAACACCAGCAGTGAAATGACTGAATTATTTTGGCTGTAGTTTTCCAGCATAATGAATATAAAATGCAATAAAAATGGAAAAAAAAATCCTATTCTGAGTGATTTTAGTCTGATAAAATTAAAGAAAAAACAAATAAAAGCAAAATCTCACAGTTGAAAACTTTGGGATTTCTTAAAAAAAAAAGGCATGGACTGACTGAATCTTTTTCCTGATCAAGAGTTAACAGAAATGGGTTGTTAAACTGGGATGTATTGCGGGGGGGAGGCGGAGGTAAAAACCAGGGAACACTCAACTCAAGAAAGAGAAGAAGGATTTGCTTGGCAAATGAGTCTGAGAATAGAAATTGGTAGTAAGATGGTGTCACAGCAATTTTCTTCAGTCTTAAGTCTAGCAACAATGCAGGGATTGCTCTCATTTTGGTTATACAACCACAGAAGACCCAAGATCCAACAGCAACACTTCTTTTTCCTCTTACCATCTTTAACACCACTAATCATCAGCAGTTTACATGCCAGTATTAAACACAAATGAATATAGTTAACTTAGAAAAGGACGGACATAATTATTACCGTTTATCTAATCTAAACACACTTAGGGAAAAGAGAAGTATGTTTAAAGTCGTTATGTGAATACCAAAGGAAGAAGTAGTATTTCAGCTGAAGTGATGCCAAAACTATGATATACAGCTTTATACTATTCTCCTGCTGTCTGCCTGAGACCAGTTCTCAAGTAAAAACACAGAGTTCAACCTAGTAAGATGCTGGGTATCTGAATTAAATAACTAGATTGCGAGTTTTATTAGCAGCACTACAATAATCTCACCACTTATGTTTCTAAACTGTCCCTGTCAGAGCTCTTCCTCCTCCAGCTACTTCCAGAGCACAACCACCTTCCAAATTATTTTTTTCTACCTGCAAATAAGTTACTGCACACATTCCTTTTGAATACGGTCACAGTCCAGTTACCCATACTTTCTGTTCTTGAAGTTGGAGTTTAGTTGTAAATTTCGGGTGGACCTCAAAGTCTGACAGTCAGTCTCCCAGATGTAGCACAGTGCTTTCAATACTCTTACAGATGAGTTTAGACTTCCTTGAAACCTAGATTTCCAGAGAACGACTTTTTTTCTTTCTCTCCTCTTATGTTCAAATACAGCAACTGATTACAGCGGAAAGTGCGATCTGTCAGTCCTCAGACTTACCTTTCTCAGCACAATGTGCGGACCCGTCAGTACATACAAGTTCAATCTGACAGTCACAGGCATAATGCCAGCTCTTGCTGTTGTGTTTACAAAATAAGCAGTTGTGTAAATAGACCCCACACCTAGAGGGAGCAGAAGGCTTCAGTACTGCTGAACAGCTATTAGTTGAAGTTTTGTTACAGTTTTCTCTTTTGGAGAGCTTTGTATACCCAAGTACATGTCTGCACTTAGATATACAGTATAGAATGCTTCAAAGAAACAGGAGCGCACTTAGTCTCAGTAACAGTATTTTGTCGTGTTGTAAAATCTGTTTGACTGCCCTTCAAAACCTTTTATTTGTATTTACTGTCACAGCAGTGACAGTAATGAATGACTTTGGCCAGACAACTGTGATAATCGGAACTATCAAGCCCCACTGAATTCAAACTTGCAGAAACACTCTGGTATGATTTCTAGCCTTGAGACTAGGTACCTATTTGAAACCAGCAAGTAATCCATGACTATTGAAAGTTACTTGAAGCATGCTTGCCAAATTCTTCTCCTGCAAAATCGTATTTACTGCTTTTAGCATAACTCCCCTCTCATCTCCAAAAGTGGGTATTTTCCACTTAAAAGTTCCATATATATACTTCAGGTACGAAAAGAAATGCAGTGCATTCCCCACATTAATTGGAATCTATATCATCAAGCCACAGCATCTAGTTCTTTGGTGACTGTCAGTCTCCAACACAGGTCCACTAATCAGTACTGACTAGGTTATATTTTTTAATCAACATGTTATCTAACAACAGTCTGAAAAGACTAGTAACAGATACCATAAACAGGAGTCACCTAAAAATGATACTGATGCAGTAACATAGGTAGGGAACAGTTCTTTGAACAGCCAAATACAATTTAGAGCATTAATTTTTAAAGTAATTTTAAAGAGCATTAAATAAAATAATGAAAAGATCAATGTATAAAAATAGGAAAAAGTATACCAATAATGGTGTAAGTTTTGCAAGTTTTCATTATTTTGCCAAAAGGAATTCTGAAATGCAAATGAAAGTCAGACAAATACATCATACTGCTTAACAACAGATAGTACATGCCATACTTTGGTAAACTCTGCTTGAAAACTGATGACATGCATGATTTAGTCCAAGCAAATCCCTTCTCGCCTACGCTATTCAGCAGTTTGCAGGAAGAGTTAGAGAAAGGAAGAGGAAATCATAGTAAGCTCTGTCTCTTAGTATTCAACCTTTCACATACTTTGAAATTTTTACACAATTAGGTTATTCGCAATTGTGTAACAAATAGCAAACTAATCTACTTTCATCTATCTACCCCTAATTTTAGAGGAAATCCTCATGAATTCTTTCTACTTCTGTATTGACAATGCAGTCTAACCTCATATAAACCTGTCACTTCTGCTTCCAAAGAGATAACAAAAAGCAACATAACTTCCATTCCTTCAAGCTGAAAAGCTTAAGACTTTCATAGTACCTCTGCATGTTTTATATCACCTCTTCAGTCTGACAATGCAAGTGCATTTTATTTGCCAAAATTACTGTTATTGCATTGAGCATGAGACTGATGATGGTGAGCTCTGTATTACTTCCTTAAGAGTAACATATCAAAGGGAGCCCCACTGCCTCAAAGTGACAACCTGGAGGAGGACTCTGTGAAGAAGGTTTTTTTGTGACTGAAAAATGACTTGTATACAGTTACGAATGGTTGTAATGGCAGCACACGCACAACTCGCGTTGTGATGTACTCCCCTTTTCTGTAACTGTCTGTCCTTCCTCATATAAGCGTTAACTTTTAATGTGAAAACATGCCAATGTTAAAAATAACCAGCTCTCCTGGACTCCTTTCTAGGGCCTATCTCATGGGATTCTTCCAAGCAGATCCCTAAACCAGTCAAAACCTGCTCTCCTGAAGTCCAGGGTTGAGATTTCCCCTCTCAGAATTCTGAATTCAATCATCCCATGGTCACTGCAGGTAAGGCTGCCCTTGACCTTCACACCTCACGTTTGTAGGTGTGAATTCCAGCAGGAGTGCCTCCCCTTGTGTCCTGGTTTCGGCTGGGATAGAGTTAATTTTCTTCCTAGTAGCTGGTACAGTGCTGTGTTTTGGATTTAGGGTGAGAACAATGTTGATAACACACCAATGTTTTAGTTGTTGCTACGCAGTGCTTACACTGGTCAAGGACTCTTCAGCTTCCCGTGCTCTACCGACTGAGAAGGCTGGAGGTGCACAAGAAGCTGGGAGGGGGCACATCCAGGACAGCTGACCCAAACTGGCCAAAGGGATATTCCATACCATATGACGTCATGCTCAGTATATAAAGTAGGGTAAAGCCAGCCAGGGGTCCACTGCTCAGGAACTGGCTGGGCATCAGTCAGTGGGTGGTGAGCAATTGCATTGTGCATCACTTGTTTTGTATATTTTTTTTATCATCGTTATTATTATTTTCCCTTCCTTTTCTGTCCTATTAAACTGTCTATCTCAACCCACAAATCTTGCTCCCCCCCTCCAATTCTCTCCTCCCATCCCACTGTGGGGGGAAGTGAGCAACCAGCTCTGTGGTGTTTAGCTGCCTGCCTGGTTAAACCACAACACCTTGTCATATCCTTGATCACCTGAGTCAGGAATTTGTCATCAATGCATACCAGAAGCCTCCTAGATTGCTTGTGCCTTGGTGATTTGTCCCTCCAGCAGGTATCGGGTGGTTAAAGTCCCTCATGAGGACCAGGGCCTGTGAATATGAGGCTCCTTCCAATTATCTGAAGGAGGTCTCATCTTCTTCCTGATCAGGTGGTTTGTAGCAGACACTCACTACACTTCCCACATTGGTCTGCCTGCTAACCCTGATCAATAAGCTCCCAGGTGGCTCCACAGCACAGCTCCATGCATTCTCACTGCTCTCCCACATGAAGTGCAACTTCCCCCCCTTGCCATCCACCTGGTTCTTCCTGAAGAGCCTGTATTCATCCACCACAGCACTGCAGTCCTGTGAGCTGTCCCGCCACCTATGCATGATCCCAACAAGATTGTAGCCCTGCAGCTGCATGCAGACCTCCAATTCCTCCCGTTTGTTCCCATACTGTGAGTGTTAACGTACAAGCACTTTAGAGAGGCACTCAGTCGTGATGATTATCCAGAAAAAACTATGAGAGCTTCCCCTGTAATGCGTATGGAAACGCAACAAAATCAAAGGCAAATAAGCAGCGCTATTTGATCGATCTGACTTCCAGATACATTATCTGGTCTTCTATTAATGAGCTTTAAGACCAACTAAAGCCTCTAGAAAGCATGTGACCTGCAAAATCTATGTACGTGTTACACAATTCTGCTCTGGCATGATAAACTCACTATTCTCCTGTATTAGGCTACAAGCACCATGATGACTGTAAGCAGGGAGTCAAGCGAAGACAAGCCTTCTCACACTAGCCTTAAACCAAGACTGCTTTGCCCCAGTGACCCCCAAAGCAATTCTGGACTTACATACTCTACTACCCAAATGTAATTGGATAGAGAAATCCCAATCTAAGTCTGCTTGCTTATCAGAATATTACCTGGCTAACAATAAAGCCTTAAAAACAATTTTGATAATAAACTTCATTTATAATGTGTTGATACCTAGTTTGCTCCCCCCCCCCCCCAGAATTTCTTTAAAAAGTAAGCCAACTCCTCACCCCCTCCAGTCAACTGTTTAACATACTCCTGGAACTAGATTTTACTGAAATGCAACAACTGCTTTTGATAATAACCACATCATATGTGCGTGTGCAGGTAAAATATATTCATCTTCCCACTATATTCAACCAATTGAATTCAATTACTAGATCAATCTAGTTTCTGCAATTTAACTTAAAAATGCAAGAATCCTACAAAAACTATAGAAAAAGGGTGCAAAATATATTAGTTCTAAGATGCTGAAGAAACTAATCCGAAATACTCAAATTCCTGTCTACACATACTACTTCCTTTCCTTTAAAGGTGAAACAGTCTGATAGTGTACTTTCCCTATCGTATCAGCCTAAACTTAGCTTTCAGAATTTTTCCTGAAGTAAAACATTTAATTTCAATTTCTTCCCCAAAACATAAACATTAATCAAAAAATAAAAACATAATTACCTTAGAAAAAGTAAATACATTGACCACAATTACAGTGTATTAAATGAAAAAATTAGATCACTTAACAGAGGTGCAAGTGCCAAATTAGATCACTTAACAGAGGTGCAAGTATGGCTAGTAAAACATAGCAGTTCAATGCAAAGTCATATTTATCATTGTGTCTTAATGGCTACCAGAGGCAAACAACTTCTTAAGAAGAATATACATTAATATTAGTTTCGCATTTCAACCTTTAACAGTTTCCAACTTGCTGATTTAAGAACAGTACCGTAAGATTAATTTTTCAAACAGAAGGAAGAATAAAGATACCTTAAAAAAAAAAAAAAAAAAGCTGAAGTGTTCCAAAAAGGCAGGAGCCTCTCTCAAATGGAGCTTAAGAAAATGGCTGCCAAAGTAAGGAAGCTGCTGCATGCATCCAGTGAGGCAAGACAAAGACGAACACTAAAGGAAAAGGAAGACTCACGTTAATATTATTTTTTGTTTTCAAAACAGAAATAATTTTCTACACTATTGGGGAGGCAAAAAAAAAAGACTGGGCATTAGCTTATTCAGAAATTCTGCCAAAGCAACCATAAGCACTTGCTTTCAACAGTCACATTACTAATAGAAAACCCCAAACTAGAATGCTTGCACCTTTGGGGTGGAGTGGGGTGTCTCAGGCATTATCAGTGCAGTGAAGGGTCCAGGGACAAATGCTATTACAGCACAGATCTCAGCAGAAGATGCTATACAGCAAGCCTTATTCTTAGGAGACCTCAAGGGCACACCCAGACTGCTCAGAATCTAAATGTTTAATCACAGTAGTCCCTACTTGGCATCTTCAAGGGAAAGCTCTGGGTTTGAGACTGCAGGCTATTTCCTGAGCAAGCAGCCACCCATCCTCTTCCAACCACAACCAGCCTTCCCCGGCTGCGAGAGCGCAGGCTAAAGGAGAACGCTGGGGCTGGGCAAGCGCTGCGTAAGCTACCTACCACAGAGAGCTGGGCTTTTGCCCTCGGACACAGCTGCCCCTCTGCCCTTTACTCCTTTAGGCAGCAGCAGGCCCGACCCGCTGGGATGGGCTGTGAACAAGTGTGGGAAGCGGCATTTAGTCAGCTCAAGCAGCTGTTGCCGGCATCCTCCCAGAAAAAGCAACAGACTGAAGAGAAGCCGATCATACACCACCATTGGACTGCTCCGGCTTAATTTAAGTCAGGAATTCAGTGCTTAGATCCCCTCCTCCATCCCCTTCAGGCAAAACAGAGAGCAACAAACATGCTAATGTGACACCTTTTTTCTTGCCATCCAGCAGTGAAAGCAACAAGCACATGTTAACCCATCAAAAATGGTCCTGAGATTCAGCACATGGTGGACTTCTTAGGAAAGGATTTTTAAACTCACCTTAGAGATCACTACATTTTCAGGCACAGACAGTCTATTGCTCTAAGTATTTTCACCAGTAAATTAAATGAAAATTGAAAAACAGCCAAACACCACACAGGCTGCAAAGTAACAAACACTGAGCTAGCAATTTTAGATTTAACATCAAATTTGTTACTTGTAATGACAAGTGTGCACTGATTCCCTTTACAAAACTTTAAAGTTATAAATTTGACTTTCAGTATCAATCTAGTAATATAACAATATCGATACAAAAATAAAATAATAAAGCAACAGACTTAAAAAAGCAACAAAAGTAAATTTTAGAAGAAACTTTTAAGACACCCTGAAACCTACTTTGCCATTTCACTGAACATTTAAACTTACACAGTGAGAAAATGCAACTGCAACACTGGAAATATTTAGCTTTTTAAATGTCACTAATGCAGCTCCACAAGCCAACTAATACACATTCAACTCTACACATTATGGAAAGAATCATTATAAACTGGATAGAGTTTTTTCTTATTAATAGCATGCTTAAATAAACAGAAATAAAACAGATCTTGCATCTATAATGCTGAGCTTCAAAAAAGCAAAGCACCAGCTTCTGAGGGTGGAAAGACCAGGCCAAGCATCTTGAGCCTGAGGGGGTTTTCCACAGTCATAAAAAACACACCAGCAGACTGCTGCCAAAAGACAAAGCCCTGCCCTCCACCATACCCACACCCCTCACACACAACTGCCAGGACCTGCTGTACAAATCAGCTCTGGGAATTGATTTTGCTAAGCACTAACATACAGAGGAGGCAGGCTGAGCCAGATTTCAGCAGCAGTCCATACTTCCTTGTCGGATGGATATGACTGTGCAACTGTGCTTCTAAACACAAATTTAATCTAAAATGGCAACCAGCAACGTTCTTCTGAGTTGCCAGTGGAGCAATGATTGGAAAAAAGCGTAATACCCAATGCAATAATTTATTGTTGCTATTGGTTTTGCCTACATTTTTTCTGAATTGGGAACACCTTTCTACAGAAACTTCATCTGAGCCTAATGTAACGCGCATCAAGAGAGACAGCTTAAACAGAAAAACTGTAAATAAAAGCAAACCCACTTGCTTCAAATGTTTTGAAGCAAAAAAGGAAGTATTTTATGTTGTGGCAATTTGTTTAGAAAGAAAGACACAGCACAAAGTGACCCACAAAAATGCAAAATACTATATTCTTCAGTTTCAACAACTTCAGCATTGAAGGATGCTGGATAAGTGTGGGATATGAGTGTTCACAATGCAGGGACATCTGAAGTTTTAGAAATAGCTTATTACCTGTGCTATTCTCAAATTAATGTCGTGTGTTCAGAAGGAGTATTTCACATAATGGAAAAATGCTTTGATAAGCTCTAGCTTTTGAAGGTACTTTGACAAAACGGTTCACAGAGTAAACATGAGATTTCACCTATGATTTAGCAGTTCTTCCTCCCACCACTCCTGGTACCTACTGAAATACAAACAAAATGTAAACCATTTCCAGCAAAGTCTGAAGTTGGACAAATTCTGCTGCAAGAATGACATGGTTTTTCAAGCTTCTGCTGTTATCTGTAGATCTGCTTTCTTCCCACCCTCTGTTATGAAGGTGCTAGAGCTTATACAATACAGCTGGCATAGCTGGCCTTGCTAAATTAACTCACAGCCAAATCAATTGATGGATGGGCTGCAGATGATATGCAGTCCCAACTGCAGTCAAACACGTAGCTGACTCAAAATTAAAGCAAGCTTTCCCCTTCTGGACAGGCAACATATGATTGTCACGGAATTGTCATGAGACTCGGAGTGCCTGATAAAGCATTATTGGATAAGCCACTGGACACCACCTTTCAAATTTAAAAGGCATAATAGTCAGCAAAGCATAAAGAGTAAATCAAAGAGAACCTCTTGGGATTTCAATGCCAAATCACGTTGTCCAAATTTACTGTCTTGATGAAGTCACTAGGCATAAGAACAGAGTCTGATGACCATAAAATCTACTAAAGACAGAAGACAGGTATTCAGTGAGAATTACTTCCCTTCTCCAAATATACTAGAAGGGATAAAGAAAAAGGCTATTTTGTGCTCACCCCTATTTAAGCACTCAGTTACCTCTAGCAAAGCAGAGCATAGAAGACTTAATGACTGTTTTGTGATAGTTACTCAGAACAGGTCTGTATTTTTTCTTAAGTAACATGGTTAAAGCAGCTTGCAAAAACACAGTAATGACAGGCCTACCGACATGCTCAGATAGCAAGCTGTAACTTCATAAATTCGAAGCTGATACCTATGCTATGATGGAAACTCTGGAGAGTGATGGTATCTTCATTAACGCAACTGGCACAGGAGAAAGTTGCAAATACTCTGTCGGCAAGTATATACCTAGTTTTCACTGCACTGAACACTTCCATAGTATTATAAGCATATCCTAACACCCACCTTAGCCATCTGTTTGCAAAAAAAGCATGCCTGGCAAAAATGCCCGCACGACTCGATGCCGTACCCACCCCAGGGCACTCGCTGCCTGCGGCGGATCACCAAGCAGGCTCACCGCGATCCCAGTTCGGCCGCGGCAGGAAGGGGCCGCCGGGG